TGAGCAAGCTATCCCTGCCATCAAAGCAGATTACAGCCACTGCCAGGGCCCACCCTTCTCCTCACTTCCCACTTCCTCTCACAACAGTGTCCCAGAGCTGGTCCACCGAACCAGCCCCAGTCTCTAAGGTGCGCTGCCTGGCTGTTCCAGCAGGGCTCAGAAATCAGACCAACCTGGTGACTCAAGGCAAGCCGAAGGCTTTTGAGTCTTCATTCCCACATCTATGAAAGGGAAAATACTGACCTCACAGGATTTTTAGAGGGATTAAATGTGATAGTAAAAATTCCCAGCACATGGTACACTTAGGAACCTCCTGCCAGAAGCTTTCTTTCTGACAAAGGAGCAATGCCTGTCACCTGGGCATTGGGACACTGGCTCGCCCAGCCAGTTTGGGTTCTGACTTAACAGAAACATCACTACTAGAAGTACCTCAATGTCACTAGAGTTTGGGATTACTCAGTCTCATTCTCTAGGTGGTTTGTACCAAACTGGAGAGGAGTCTGAGGGGCTTCTTTCTGGCAACTAGAAAGTCATTCTTTGAGTTGGTGGCACTGTTAAACCACATATGGGCCAAACAGAAAACTGCTGTGCTGATCGTTGACCAGACTGCCCTGGAAGACCAGAGGATGAAAAATAGGATAAGGATGGGGTGGGGGTAAAGGGTTCTAGGGATTCCTGTGCAGGAAACAGAGGCAGATGAAGAGAGTAGGTTCTTGCACAGCATGACAGCCAGAGGGGAGGGGGAGAGGGGAGGGGAGGGATCTGGGCTAAGAATCATTAGGTCTAGATTCAAGTCCTAGTTTTGCTATTAAGTCAGTGCAATGTACCCTTCCTAGATCTCAACTTCCTCAACCACAAAGGGAGTGAGATCAAAAGTAATTGCATCCACCTCATTACAAATAGCTCAATTTCATTCCTTTTTATGTGGATAGACCTAGAGTCTGTCATACAGAGTGAAGTAAGTCAGAAAGAGAGAGACAAATACCATATGCTAACACATATATATGGAATTTAAGAAAAAATATGTCATGAAGAACCTAGGGGTAAAACAGGAATAAAGACGCAGACCTACTAGAGAATGGACTTGAGGATATGGGGAGGGGGAAGGGTAAGCTGTGACAAAGCAAGAGAGAGGCATGGACATATATACACTACCAAACGTAAGGTAGATAGCTAGTGGGAAGCAGCCGCATAGCACAGGGAGATCGGCTCCGTGCTTTCTGACCGCCTGGAGGGGTGGGATAGGGAGGGTGGGAGGGAGGGAGACGCAAGCGGGAAGAGATATGGGAACATATGTATATATATAACTGATTCATTTTGTTGTGAAGCAGAAACTAACACACCATTGTAAAGCAATTATACTCCAATAAAAAAAAAAAGTAATTGCATCTTTTCTCTTAAAAGTTTCCAGCACATACATGTTCACTCCCTTTTTTTCCTCCTGCCCTTACATTCCCTATCCTTTGGTTTGGAGCCAACTCCTTCCTGGCAACCAAAACTCCAGACACTATGAACTGTCCTCAGCCACCCCGACCCCTGCCCCCCTTATGAGATCAGAGGTATCAGAGCCTCACTCTCCATGCTGCCAGTCCAGGCTTTGTTTATCATTTGGGGCCCAGGTCTGCCTGTAAATTAGAACTAGAATTGCTTCATGCCTATTGCTTCAGGTAGTGGAAAAAACCCTGATAGATGTTTTCTGCCATACCAAATTGGAATCCCTCAATGGCTTTTCCCATAAACTTTGTTATACGTAATTGGTGGTTAGAGTCCATATTACCATGGATACTCTTCTACAGTTACATTAAGGATTAAATTGATTTTGCAGACGGATCTAGGATTTAACTGCCACTTGTACCACAGTCTCTGTGGGAAAATATATTCTGTGTTCCAAACAATTGACCTTTTGGAGTTGATCCAGTTCCTAAGTTGGGGACAGCCTGTACAATATTATGTTACATTTTGGGTTTCATTTGTGTGTCCTAGAATCAAAGACTTGTTAGAGCTGGAAGAAACTTTGGAGATCATTAATGCAACTAATTTTATAGGTAATGAAGCCAAGGTTCAGAAAGACAGAGAGATTTGTTTAAGGGTATTCAGCTACTTTGGTCTCCCAACTTCAAGCCAATGCTTTTCCCACTATCCAAATCATTTTGTGGTCATTTTCCCAAATAGCCATTAAACCACTTGAAAGTTGGGAAGATCATGTTTTCTTCAGTACAGAATCAAACATACTAAATATTTCGTAAATACTGAAACAATTCATTATTCACTTTGCTTTGGAGGTCTATTCGCTATAAGATGTCCTCAAATAATAAGTAACATTAGGGTATTTCAATTAAGAATGTATTTATAGTAGACTAGATTTGGTTTGAATCAAGATTTGAATAACTGAAAAATATTCTATTTAACCAGTGTTTCCTATATAAAAGGGTCTATTAGGGTTGATGTCACTCCAATAAATATTTTTCACAGCTCACAGACACATCTGGTTCTAGTTTTAGGAGATACATGCCATTCATTTTAATGTGGTCTTAGGGGAGAGCCACTCATTTTATAACTACATTTAAAAACTTAATATCCCTTTGTTTGTTTTATTTACCAAAGCCAACTGAAACAGAGACTTATGAAACCATTCAGAAGCAAACCTTCTCCAATTGAAAAGGTGACAAACATAATTTTGATATACTATATGAGGAGAGCTACCTTCATTAGAAACAAAACACTTAAACTGTTTTATTTGAAACAAACTTTCCCATTTGGTGTACTTTTCTTCACCAACAAACACATTGAGTTATTTCTTAAATATCTTTGAATGAGAAAGATAGGAGAACACTGAAAGAGAAACAATCTCATATAGGTAGATGACATGGTTTTATTGTAACAAACTAGGGAGTGACCTAAATAGACAGCCCTGTAATCTAGTTATGAGGGAAAAAAAGAGCCACAGATCAACTCTTCAAAAATTAGTCATCCTTTGTGATAGCTGCCCTCCAACTTTAATTGTCTTATAGTTAACAGTTATACAGTTAACTCCTTCAGTTACTAGGCATTTATTTTTTTATGGTATAAGAAAATGTATTTTCACAAGATATTAATTATGTACCAATACAGCATTTAAACTAAATACAACACTTCAAAACATTCTGCACAAAAAGTTACAGATCACATTTATTTAATAACAAAATGTCTAGTTCTTTAAGAAAATATTTTTTAAGAACTTACTGCAATAAAATTTTCCAACCAAAGAAAAAAATATTAAACAAATTATGGTACAAGACATCATAAAACTTATTAATGTAACAAATCAGGCAGAATTTTGTGCTAGAAACAGAATGGGGGACACCTAAATAAAACAAAAAATGCAGACAACTGGGTATTCATAAATTTCTGGTTCACTGAGGCTTAATGTTGTTAAAGACCAGGAGTCTTCAAGCATCAGACTTTGTTTATAAAAATAAAAAATTCCCCAAACATTAGCAACATACTACCTCAGCACAATTTTTTTTTCCCTTTACAATTCAGAATCCTGCCGTTCATTTGTCAAACATATGAACAATATCTAGTTACTTCATTAAACTTAACCAACATTACCCTTCGGATACTGATTCGGTTGCATTATTTTTTTTCCCAATGAACCTAGAGCCTATGCACACTTAGATAAAAACTGGTCTTAGAAATACTTTATCCATGAATAATTCTACACATATTCAATGAAAGCCTACATTTCCAGGCCTAGAAAGAGCAAGACAGACACCAGGCCTGCCTACAGAGAGCTTACCATCTAGAATACAGCAAGTCAAGCACCGGTTTTCAATCACTATGAGCCTTCATTTCACCTTTCAAGATGTGCACAGATATTGATGTCCTCTCTAAGGGCAAACAAAATCTTCCCTTATGCCTATCATTCTTTAGATTCTCTACGGGGAATTTTGAAATCTGTATGTTGACAAGGCCTATGCTTTGCTTTCTCTGATTGCCTTCTGCTCCTTATAACAATGTCAAGTATTTTATTTTCCTTTCAGTTCTTCCCAACATAGCCTCTGCAGTTTTGTCTATCCAGTTTGGCCTTTTCTGTGACCCTCTGTTACAGCTTTCTGCTCCCCTTCATTTTTGTTTCTTTCCTTCTTACTAGAAGCCTGGTCATCTGGGCTTCCCCATCTGCCTTTTCTAGCTTCTTATTCATTCTAGTAACTAATCTTAACACTTCCTTAAATGTTGGGTCTTCAGTAGGTAGAATTAGTGAGCATTTCAGTTAGCATTTCCTTGAGCTCTGTTGTGAACAATAGATCTTCTTTACAACAATACTTTCTCCCCGAACGTTATTTGGAAATATCATCCTAATATTCTAGGATATTAGGATTTCTGTTTTAAAGGTTTTTTTAAAAAAGATCAATAAAGGAATGCATAATTCAGCAACTGATGCTTCTACTGTAGTCTCAAACTCTTTGGCATGGGATACCAATGTTACACGTAAGGGGCTAGATCAAAAATTCAATTTTTGGCTATTTGAATTTTAAATTAAAATTTATAAGAACTCAAGAAGTTTGAAACTTTAAAACAAGCTAAATGATAAAAAGACAGTTATTCACTGATGTGATCCTTTATCATAAACGATATATAATGAAGAATTCAACTATTTTTGTGTCTGCAAGTCAGATGCTATCAAGCAAACTGCCACGTATGGATTGATAAGTTTTTACATTTTTAACTCAAAGACAAATAGGAAGATTCAGTAAGTTTCATTTTTCCAAATGTTCTCAGAAAGAATGATCAGAAGCACCCTCCAGTTATGACACAGGTGGATAATCCATTTACCCCCAACGAACCACCTGTGTGTGCTGTGAGGTAGTAATGTGACCTTCTATGGTGATGACACCCTCAACAGAGAAGTGTCCCCTCTTCACATGAAGAGTGTGAACAACAAGAAGGGACAGAGAGTTACCTTTCATTACTTCATCAACTATTGGTGTTTTCATAGGATTTCAAATGCCTGACTCCAATTTTACAACAATAAAAATACCAATATTTATTCTGGAAGGGGATTTTATGTTCCAAGCAGCAGATATTAACAACTTCCAACACAATCTCTAGGAATTATTCGCAGTTCTGAACCGTGCTTTAGAAAAACATTTCCAGCAGTCTGTGCAGGATTTATTCCTATTCCATCATTGGTAATAACTGCACCTGTTGCTGCAGGAACTTTAAATTCTTCTGCTGCAAACTTTAAGACTGCTGTAAAAGGTGTACTTTCGGGAACACTGAGTACTTTGTACGGCAGCTGCGGGTCCGACGTCAGTGTGATCTTAAAGGAAACCTTCAACATGGTGCAGCCGGTCTGGACAGAAACCCCACGCTAACCTAGGCATTTATTTTGTGATCATTTTATCTTGAAGCATACACCAGAGAGTTTCCTTAAGAGACAATGTTCCACTGAGAGAGAGAGAGACAGAGACAGAGACAGAGACAGAGAGACAGAGAGAGATAGAGAGAGAGAGAGAGTTGGGGGTGTCAGAACTGGAGGAAGGGGGAGGGTTTTGGCCAAGGGCAGGGGAAGAGGTATTTGGTTATACCTGGCTTTATAATTTGGGGGGCTAAAATGACTGAGGACATGCCTTATGGCTTAGCTGATCACTCTGGTGCTTGATTATTCTCTCACATGTGTATTGAAATGAAACCAAAAGTAAATCCTAAGCAAAATTCTTGGCCCTGCCTAGGTGTATACCAGGTCTGGCTCTGTACTGACAGGGGTGGCCTCCTACTGATGCATGTATCCTTGTCTGGTTTCTCAGTATCCTTGAATTAAGCTGACTACAAAAGTCTATGACATTTGATAGACAGAATGGCTGCCCTCAAGGTATATCTAGTAAAATTTAGAACTTACTGCCATTTAAGACTATTAAAGACTTGATTAAGAGGAATCATATTCATGGAAGGACAGCCTGATGAATGTTGATTCATTCATTTATAAGTTATCCTGGATTAGTCAAGGCAGCAAAGAGCTATATATCACTATCACAACCTTCACACTTTGCTACCTAAACCTATTCACTTTCACACCATATTGGCTACTGGCTAATATCAAGAGGCATATAAAACATCCCTATGAAAGTCTGTGCTGTGTTTACTAAAAGGAATCATGAGGCTGCTGTTCACTGTGTTCCAAAGTGCCTTCTTTGAGGACACTCCATAGGGACATCTTTCTGATCTCAGCACAGTGATAGTTGGGCTCCTCTGAGCACTAGTCTGGCCCAGGTATTTCCTGTCAGTAAGTACAGATAAAATCATGATTTTATTAAGACCCTAAATCATGATTCCCCAAGTCCTTTACAATCAGGAAGTCCAATTTCCCTCCACAGACATTTCTGGAATTACCCAAGGATATTAACATGCATGTTATGCCTCCCTAAGCCCAGTGGTATGCTGGTAAATGTTTAACAACCAGCTTTCTGGTGGAAAAAGCTGATAGATTTGTAACATGTGCTAATTTCCTTGGTGTAAATACTGCTCTCACTATGGCCAATATAATATCACTGAAGGTAGAGTTGGAAAGAGATGCATAGCAGCATTTCATTATATAGTATTTCCACCATACAGATACAGTACATGTTAACAACCTTTAGACTATACATAATAGTAAAATGGAGCAACATAAATAGAATGTGATGAATCTTGAGCAATAATTACCTTTGTTTTTGTTATATTTATTTGTAAGTCTATATAATTTACTTTTTAAATAATGACTCTGTTTAACAACTGGCTTGCAAAATTCTCTGAAAGTTTAACAACTGGCTCTCATGAGCCAGTGTAAGCTGGCTCCCACACACCACTATCTAAAGCCACGCTGGGTTGGGAGTCTAGCGAATAGTTTGCCCTCTAGTCTCTTGGATTAACAATCCCAGTCTCATCAGGAGCGGGACCTTAGCCTGATCCTTTTCCTAAGTCTTGCCACATGTCCAGAAAGAGAGGGAGGCAGTTTCCTACATGCAATCAGAACCACTCCCTGCCAGTCCTCTGCTCTAAAGTCTCCTGGTCTCCAGGCTCAGGTGCTCTACAGAGCTGCTGCCCACCACACATTGCTCCTACACCAATGGCAGCCTTCTCGTGTCCTGCTTCCAAGCTGCTGACTTCCCTAACTGACAACCCCCATTCTGCCCATGGACCACTGCTCACACTCAGGCCAAGAACTTCCTGAGAGTCAGTATCTGTCAAGTGAGGCTTCTGTCTCTTTGGTACCCGCCTACCCTTGAACCTCATCGTGGCTCTGACTGCCTCTATTGCTGCTGCTCCCTGCAGCACTGTCTCCTCTGACCTCTGGATCTCCACCTCTTACCTCTTCCTCTGCCCTCAACCGCTTATCCACATTTTAAGGTCTAAATAAACTTTGAAAACTGAGATTCACATAAATGTGACACGAAAACTCACATAACCAAGTAGGATGAAATGGAAGTGAAGAATGATCCCCATTTTACAAAATGGGTATACATCTATCTATCTATTCCCTGCTTTTAGAAAGTTCACTGTATGCAACTTTGCTTTTATGAAAGACCTACGTGAGTATCTTTTTCCGAAAAGGCGAAAGTAAAAATAGTGATTAGCGTTAGTTCTGCAGCAAGCCATTACAGAGGAAATGCACACATCAAGCACCGCCAAGTTCCTTCTCTAGGAACTATACTCAGCATCTCAGCATCAGGCTGCCATAACTTTGAACTGTGTCTGTGAGCATCTGTGCTTTATCTCGATTTATTTTGTGCACCTGTTAGCAAGATGTGTCCTAGGGTAATTGCTTCTTTGCTTTATGACATTTCGGCTTACGAAAAGTTTCATAAGAATGCTCTACTTCCTTGGTGTAAATTTATATAGACATATATATGTCTATATAAATAAATATATTTATAATTATATTATATATGATATAAAATATATAAATACATATTCAGAAATAAAACAGAAAAGTGGTTAGCTATGGCTGGTGAAATTATAGGTGATTTTTATATTTTTTCTTTGTTTTCCAATTTCCTTCAATAAATACGTTTTATTCGGGGGGGGAGGCTGCTTTAATGGCAACTCTGACTTGAACTGATATGAGGCAAAATGCAGTCTTTATTTACCTTACATGACATGGATATTCGTATGATTTTCTTTAAAAAAAAAATAATGCTTCAGTTTATAGTGAGCTGCCCCAGAAGCTGCTGGGGTGTTAAGTAATACATAGTATATGCACTAAGCTTCAAAATCTGAAGACATCTGATTCTGAATTCTTATATAATATTTTTGGAGGGGGATCCCACAGGAAAGTTGGTTGGGCCCCTAGTGATAGAGCTCTTTCATTTTTATAATAGTCCCTTCTTACCCAGGATTCGAAGGCACTAGAAAACCTGGTGGGGTGGGGGTGAAGGGGCATCTCCAGCTGCAGGCAGTACCAGACGGTACTCAGAACCTCTGAGCTCTTCTGATTCCCAGAACTCTGCTGAGACCAGACTCTCTCTGCCCTCCTCCACTTGGGGTGATTTTCTCTAAGATGCTCACTTTCTCTCTGTGCAATCCAGTTTCCTTTGAGTGTCCCTTGTCCCTTAAATATATCTGAATATATATAAACCCTAATGGAGGACAGGGTTCAAAGTTCTTTCTCACGGGGTTCATGGGCCCCATGAAAATTGGAGGATAAGAAGACACCTTAAGTGTTCTAAACATTCTGTTACTCTTTTAGAGACTCATGGAAGAGATTTGGGAAAGTGGCATCCAACTCCACAAGCTGGTCTATTCAAGTCTCAGTTCCAGCTCAGCCAGAACACTTACTCCACTTGCTACTCATTGGTTGCAATTTTCCTTGGTTGCTAGAAAGCTTAGAATCATATTTGTGACTTATCCCTAGCAAACCATAGGACCTTACACCATGCATTTTACATACAATACTGCTGGTTTTATCTTATCTTTCCCATTCTTGGTTTTCTTTTGTGCTCTTTTTCTCTGTACATATTTTTAATTTATCCTACTTCATGTATTTACGTAAGTTACTTTAAATCCCTTCTTCTGAAATAAAGCAGGGTATAAATAAATGGTCATTAACAAAAGAGTTTGATGAGGATCCATTTCTTCACCTATAAAGGCCCTAAGATGAACTGGTGGCAATAAGAGTCTGTGAAAACTACTCCAGACAGGATCACCATTATAGCTTGTCACCTGTTCTGTGTTCACCATCAATCCACAAGCTAAATCTTGAAATGGAGAGAAAGCTAGAAAAAAAGGGATCAGGAAATCCTATCTCTGTAAGTCATCTGAACCATCATAAAGCACTTGATTGGATAATGCTTTTTCCCCAAAAAAGTATGATTTCTGTTCTCGACATTTATGTTGTAACACATGCATATTTAAGCATCTCAGTTCACATACACTGAGAGGGAGTATATCACAATTGTTGAGTGCAGACTCTGGCACTAGGATGCCTGGGTTTGAATCCCAGATCTGCCATTTACTTGGGGCTAGGTATTTAACCATACTGTGCTTCAATAAATTCCATCTACAAAGTAGAGATAATAATAGTACCTACCTCACAGGGCTGGTGTAAGGATTAAATGAAATAACATATGTACTACAACATTTAAAACAGTGCCAGAGCACATACAGGGATCTCAAAAATGTTAGCTATCATTAGTGATATGTGAGTGGGAGAAGCACTGCCTTGAGCTTGAGACAGCATCTTGTTTGTGAGTTTCTGGACAAACACCTGAGGAATGAGTGAAGACTTTTGGTCTGACCACTTCTGAGAACAGGCCCAAAACTCTTGCTTACCCAGATCCTTTGCGTGGCTACTCTTTCCCCTGCTTTTCTAGAGGCAGAATTCTGTGGTGGAAAGAAGAGGTGGGCAACCAACCTTCCTGAGCCTCCGCGTTTCTTTGTCCCTCTCTTCTACATACCAGATACAGCGGGAGCTGCAGGCACAAAGATAAATTGGGTTTACCGTGTAGGAGCTCACGGTCGAGTGCAGGAGATAAATGCAAAAACAATTACAAGGTAGGATGATTAAGCAATATATAATGAAGGTATTTTTCTTGTTCAAAATGCACTGTGGAAAAGCAGTATCCACAGAATGGAAGATGTAAGATATGTGAAAGCGCTCTATAGAAGGCAGACAACGGTACCCATGTAAAATATTATTACTGCTGACCCTCCCAGGGCCCACTTTAACTTATTTCATCCAGGGACACTTGGGCAACCAACCTTGTGGAACCGTAAGGTATGAAACCCCTTACGTGCAACGTCAAACTGCTCCAGCAGAGTAACCCCTTCTTGCTTTCCAAACGTGTAAACCCAGTTTCAAACATGGGTAACGCAGTCCGCGTTTCCCGCTTACCG